GGAAGGTTGCTTACAGACCAAGGGTGACATTTTTCTTCCAACCTATTGCGGGATGTGTGCGACGCACTGGGGACTAAGAAAGTTCGGATGTCTCCCTATCATCCACAAACTGATGGGATGGTTGAACGGTTGAACCGGACCCTGTCGGCCATGCTCTGTCAGACGGTTAGCGAGAAGCAGGTCGATTGGGATTTGTATATCCCTGGGGTGCTCTCCGCTTACCGGATGGCGCCACATGCGTCAATGGGGTACTCAACTTGGCACGCGGGCGAGGGGTCCTGTTAAGCCCCTCCCCGAGTATATTCGTGACGCCACTCAGCGCGTGGCGGAAGCGCGGTAGGCGGCCCGATTGGCTATGGCCAGGACCCAGGCCCGGAACGAACGTTGCACCCGGCGCTCTCATCGTGGGTCCCCCTGGCGAGTGGGGGACATGGCCTGGCTCCACTGCCCACAGGTACCGGTGGGGACCTCCCCTAAGTTGCACAAACCCTGGCAGGGGCCGGTTGTGCTTATTGAGGTCCCTAGCCCGCAGTCCGCGTGCGTTTGGGTCAGATCGCGGCGTTGGTACGTTCACACGTCCCGATTGAAACCCTACGTGGCCCCACGAGTGGATGCATCATCTCCTAACATTGCCTTGCCAGTGTCTGTCGCGTCCGACGCGCCACTGACTTTGCCTGTTCAACCTGCAAGCGCGCCTGTCGTGCCTCCTGCAGACGGACCGGCTGTGATCCTGCCGGACACAGGGATTCCTGCACCGGGTGGGCCTAGCACGGCAACGGGGATGCTTGGCCCCACTGCTCCTCCAACCCCGCCGCGGTTGCAGTTGCAGGGGGCCCCGACTACGGACCTCTCTGGGGAACGGGGTGCTGGGACGGACAGGCCTCCACCAGCGGCGGATGGTTCCAGCGCTCCTAAAACCCTGTCGGGACTGCGACTTTTGAGAGCGCCGCCTCTCGTGAAGGACGGGCCGGCGACCCGCACTCGTTCCAAATCCCTTCCCTTTCGTTAATTGTGTTGTTGTTATACTCTCCGTTGTGTCTGGTGATTCCTGATTGTGATGCTGTCGCTCGCATTATTTTGTCCTATTGCAGCCGGGACTGCTGGCTTTTAATCAGTTTAATCAGGGGGGGGGGGGGGGGTCATGTAATGCGAGCGTAAATGGGGTTGTTGCTGGGCTCTGGTCCAATCACACGGCCCGGGGTATTGGGGGGTGGAGCCTGGTCTGTGGGGCGTGTGGGAGAGGCCACCGTTCACCTCGGCTCCAATGGGAGGCGAGGTGAATGGGGGCGAAGCCAGCAGGGTAGTATGGGAAGGCCGGATCTAACGATCCGGAACGGGAGGAGTCAGGGTCACGTGGGGGGAATGTAGATAAGTGGGAGCCCGGAAGAGATTGGGGTAGTCGGGGAAGTTAAGAGTCTGAGCCATGTTGGGTGGTGAGAGAGAGATCCGCGCCATCGGCCACGAGGCCGAAGGACCTCAGCACGCCGTTGGCCAGCGGTGTGCGGAGTGCGGGAATAGAGGAGCTAATGGAGGAGCGTGCGTGGCACGCGAGAGAGAGAGCGTGCGTGGCACGCGAGAGAGAGAGCGTGCGTGGCATGCGAGAGGGAGCGTGTGCGGGGCGCGCGCGAGACGACACTGGTCCGGTAGGAGGCCAGTGGGGTGCGGAGAAGAACCTGAATAAAAGACAAACGGAGACCAGCAGTGCCTGACGGAGTCTTTTATTACATATGTGCTATGAAGAATGTAGATGAGTGATGTGTGCTACGAAGCAGGGCCATTGCCCTAAACGTCACCGAGGTTTTTATCGATATGTATTTTAAGGACACCCACGTAGTGTTGTTGATGAACGGTGCTTGGGCTTTTTTATTCGCACGCCACGCGATGGCTCGGGGGTGTCCGCGGGTGTATCGGGCGCCGCGAAGCGATGGATTCCCGTGGACGAACGCGGACGAGCGAAAAGAAATGTATTCAGCAGCGAGGAGATGGCGAGACCCGGTGACAGCAGAGGACGAGCGAGTGGCACAGTATCTAGCTGTGCCCATATGAGTGGCACGCTGCTGATCCTTAAGGCCTATTGAATTATTTTTAAAACAAACATGTCACGAAAGAAATATATATTTTTTACGGTATATTCAAAATATTTAATAAGGGATAGTGTGAAGTAAGAGGAGAGGTGTGTACAGAAATGGAGCAGAGTGACGCTGGGCCAATGCTTTCCAACAGCACGTGTTTAAGCAGAGAAGATTGTCGAATTGGTCTTTGACCTTCAGGGGGTTTGTTTCTCGCTGATGGGGCCCCACGGTGTTTGCGGAGTGCTCGAGCTAATAACGCGAGGAAAGCCAGCAGGAGCAGCAGCAGCATTTGTTTTAACGGGCCCGATGAACACAGTTGGGCAACATTCATTTGTTCGTATATTTATTTAAATCCAAATTTACGGCTGATAATTTCAGTTTCAAAGCCCGTGCTGTCATCGTCAAAGGGACCAGGAATATAGTTGCTCTCAATCTCAACAAATTCGTATTTTCTTTAAGTCGCATGCGTTATTTCTTTCATATATAATGAGTGTCTGCTGCTGCTGTGCCTTGTACAACGATCACTTTATAAATATAATGTTTTGTTATTAATAATGTTTTGTTATTCTTCAACAATACCACTGTGTGTGGCCTCAAACGAAACACATTCGGTAGGGCATTGGGCAACGGCCTTTTTTTACATTACTTTTTCAAATAATCAGAATATTTATTGACACTGGAGGAATCCGATGAGCTATAAAGCTCTTTTTTACAGATGTTCAGGAGGGGCAGGTGCAGAACGTTCCAACAGCCAATAATACAAAAACAAGTCAGGAGTGAAAATTATCGGAAAGGTAAACATATCACTTTAAAATATATATATAGATAAAACTAAGAATTTTTTCAAATCTTACAGTACTACATAAGGCCCACTGAGCCACGAGATTCTTTTTCAGAAGCGACCTGACCACAAATGATAGCTCAACGAAGTGGCTTATCATCACGGGAAAATCCACAGCAGTAAAATAATAAATACAATTTAGACGCGCTTTTCTAAATGTGGAGGGAAAAACCAGAAGACCCAGAGAAAAATAAATTCACGCGACCACCGAATAACCATTGCCTGAAACGTTGCTTATGAAATATATTTTAATTTAAGGCCACACACACAATGCTGTTGACGAGTGTGTTGTCGTTTTATTAATTGTACTCTACTTGTGCACCACTGCCAACGTAGCAGCAGCAACGTCATCATCACCAAACGTTCAGTTTTCTTTTCCCCAACTTCTCAAATTTGGTGCAACTTGGTGCAAGTGAATTGTAAATTTGAAAAAGTTATTGAATGAATGACATTGAACAAAAAAAAGGGAACCGAGGCATTACTTTGAGCTGAGTAGATACCAATGATAAATGACAAATGCGATGCAATAATATAATTAAATTGATTTCGTGGGATTCTATATTTGAGTACAACCTGTCCGAGAATTTCGTTCGCTTCAAACACAGACGCCGCTGGGAAACATCAATCCATGGGGCTGACGGGAAAATTACACATTTTAAAATGTATTTTATGTGGCCATAAAGAAGCTGTGGGAATGTATTGTCCACGATGTCATAAGGACACGTGATGAGTTTAGATGGCAGGAGAAACGTGTTCACGTTTGTTACAAACTGCAGCGCTATAACATTATTAACCCCTGGGCCATGGGCAGTCACCAACCGGCACCTCGCGCTCGTCCTCGGCAAAGGGCGCAGCCCTGAATTTGCTCGCTGGTGCCACTGCAGACAAGAAAGAGGGGGCTTCCGTTGTCGGACGGGGATATGGAGAAGCACACTTAAGAGGGGAATTTTTGGCCTACTCTTCCACACTGGTTGGGCGTCGTGGAAGCAGGGGGAGTACCCACACTTCACCCCACCATTCACGACCTGCGCCGATCGACTAACCGTGGTGCACTAACATGAACTGCTGGGTGGAGTGATGTAAGACACTTGGACCCATTGTTTCAACTGCCGCGACTGGAGATCGAATCGGCAGCATCTGCAATGGTGCCTCGTCCCCCCACGCTTACCCATTCAATGTAAATGGAATTAATCTCAGTGGCAGTTCCCAACTGAGTTGGTAACTGGAGCTGGGAGGAGCTCGCATCCAGCTCCATTTCCATATTTGTTCACATGACGGAGCTTAAACAGACTGAGAGTGGGTTTCGGCAAGATGCAACTCTCCTCTCATGAAATTCTGGGGTTGGGGTGGAAAGCAAACCACACAGACCAGCTCCTGAGATTCCCTGCAGCACCACACATTGCTATTCCTCAAGATTTGTCAATGCCAAAACCGGAAGTGGTGGCCTGTGCAGAATATTGGGAGAGAAAAAAAATCCACAGAGGTTGGACGGGAGACGACGACGAAGAAGTCCACCCCGGTGCACGCATTCGATGTCGTTGGTGTCCAGTGGTCGGTATCCAAAATAATAAAAAAATAATGAGACATTCGTGTCGAAGTCAATAATGATCTCGATAATTCAAGAGCCGCGATGCAATGTGAATCCGAGACGGTGATGGTCCTTAATAAATAACATCACGAAGCAGTCACTTACAGAGCCGCATGCGGCTTCGGATGCCGCAGATTGCCGACTCCTGGTCTGGCGATTCCAGTCCGACCGTGTCTGTCCAGGGCTCGCCAAGCTGCATTGGCTTCCGATTGCCGAACGAAGACGTGACAAGGTCGCGCTCATTACCCACAAAGTGCTTGTCACAATTCATGAACACCTCGCCGATCTCGTCAAGGGGCGTTAAACCAACAGCAAGTGGACTGCGGTCATCCTCGCAGCAGCAGCAGCGGCTTTTGGCTCGCCGTCGAACAAAGACGGTCGACGCATTGTGTGGTTTCAGATGCGCTACTGCGGCCCTTTGCTCTTCTTTCCCATATTAGGAAGCCGCTGGGAGTTAAGACTGCAGCTGCGGCATCTCCACCACGAACGGAGCGCGTACCTTCTGGGATCATCATCGCCAGCAGCAGCGGCGCGGCGGCAGCAGCGTCGCCTCGGCACGTCCCGCCCGTCCTCAGCACTCGTCCCCCTGGGCCACCAGGTGCCCCAGCCTCAGCGCCTCGTCACCGCTGTCCTCCTGCGACACCTGGAAGGTCGGCGAACTCAGGGCCCCCGAGCGCTTGGAGGAGACCCTGCGGACGCTGCTCCTCACCAGCTCCCTGGCCTCGTCCTCAGGACAGCTCATGTCCTCGCACACCTCTCGGCTGATCTCCGCCAGGCCGGCGCTCACCTCGTGCAAGCCCAGCTCGCTCAGCTCGCTCACCTCCTGCGAGAAGCGAAAGTGGCGCGCCATGATGTCCATCACGTTGCTGGGCGAGTAGGTCTGCAGGAGGTCCACTTGGTGTTTCTTCAGCAGCTGCGAGACCTTCCGATCCAACTCGGCTTCCAGGTCTCGCGACTGCAGCCTGCTCCGCTTGTTGTTGTTATTCTGCTGCTGCTGGCTGTTGTTGTTGTTGTTGTTGGGGTGTCGGTGGTTGTGGTGGTGGTGGTTGTCGCGACTCCTCGCGCTGTCGTCTCTCTGGAGGATGTCAGCCAAGTTGGCCGCCGTCTGCAGGCAGTTGTCCCCCACGCCCGCAGCGAACTCGGCCGCGCGCGGCTCCCACGGGGCGCCGTGCGGGTGGCCGGGGTCCCTCGGCGTCGGCGGCGGCGGCGAGTGTGCCGCGATGGTCACGTCATCGTACTCCACCTGCACGGACGACAGCCTGGCGTGAGGCCTCGACCCCGGCCGCACCGGCCGAGGGTCGTCCCCCGCCTCCGCCGCGTCGTCGTCGGCCTCGCGGACGGCACCCAGGGGCCGCCTTTCGTCGCTCATCGACGTTTCGCTGTCGGAGCCCTCCTGCAGGAGCTGGACGTCCCCTGCCTCCACCCCGCCGTTGCCGTACGGATTGAGCGTCGTCGTCTGCCCCTTGGAAGGCGCCGTCCCTCCGTCGAAGGCTTCCTTGTGCAGCTGCTCGTGGGCCAACACCGCCTCTGCGTCAAAGCTCCACGTGGCACCGTGCATCTCGTTCAAGGTGGCCTGCTGCTGTTGCTGCTGCTTCGCTGCTGCAGTAGAAGCAGCAACGGCGCTCTCTCTTTTGGCGTCACTGGAGGCAGCGAGGGCGAACGGCTGAGCGTCTGTCTCTGCCGAGCCGCCCGACTGCTCGGCGTCGTCCGGCTCGGAGCCCGCACAGCAGCCGCAGCACAATGCGCGCTTCAGGGCCGCCCAAGCGCAACAGCTGCGGGGAGACTGGCGAGCCGGCTTCAACTCGTCATGGTATTTGCTCTCCACTGAACTCCTGGGCACGGTCTTCACGGCTCCCTGCGAGGCCTCCATGCTTCTGACACGGCGGGTTGGGCTTTATCACATTTCTAGCCCGCTATATTGCGGCGACGGCACCGATCATTCACTCGTTCATTCTGCTGTGGTTTAAATGCCGAGCGACGCATCCATGGCGCGGCTGCTGCTGTCTGCTGCTGTTGACGGCGACCGCCGCTCAAGGTGAATGTCCGTCCGACGGCTCTGCTGCGTTCCGAGAAATCCGCAGGCGCGTGAAGATAAAGACCGTGCACTTCCTCGTGGTCGCTGTGATGCAAACGACCCGCGGTGTTGACGATGCAGCAGCAGCAGCGAGCCGCACTTAATGACATAGACAACACAGCAGCTGCAGCAGCAGCATGAGGAAAAAACCCACGAAACTGTCAGCAACTTTCACTTCCCTTTTGGTAACTTTACTGACGCTGTCCACTTCGCACGATTAATTCAGCAAATTCCTCAACGCGCTCCGCACGACGACCTGTAGTGATTACACTCGCTGTGCGTGTACGGCTCTCTCACTCACAGTATGTGTTCTCCTGTAGCCCATGCTGGCTACATGGGAGGCGGGGGATGGCGAAGAGAGAGGGGGATGCGCGGTTTGATGTCTTTGTGGGCATGCGTGACCCTGTCGACTGCTCCCGCGTGTAAACACCGCCACTGGGGAGACAAAGCCGGCCGGGTTCCTCGCCACGTCGCAACTCCTCTTGTAACCCGTTGCCCGTCTCAATGGGTGCTCTCGAACAATACGCCTGCGGGCGAGATGCTCTCCCAGATACCGCGCAATCAATGTGGCGCCACGGTGGCTTGGAGATGTTAACTACCTCGCCTTGTACACAGGAGATCGTGGGTTCGATCCCTACCCTGACGCTTGTACATTTGGAGTTTGCATGTGTCTCTCTCCCCGTGGTCGCGTGGATTTTTCTTCGGATTTTTCTCTCCACATTGAGAATCAACGTGCGTTCAGAGTATTTTGCCTGCGAGACATTTCCACGTGATAAGCCACTTGGTTGAGCGATCACTTGTGGCCAGGTCGTTGCTGAAAAAGAGCGACATAGCTCAGTAGGGCCTTACCGGTAAAATACAAAAAAATGTGTTTAATGTGACCCTGGATTTGAACCGAGGCTCTCAGTAGTACATGTTCGAGTGCCTCTGATTTGGCCATTATGAAGGCCCTGCGTTATCCTGCCACCTCTTGGGGAGTGACTGTAAACACACTTGCGAAATACGTTCGTGTACAGCCCTTTGTCAATCCACTGCGAGATGAAGGCTTCCCATAGTCGTGTCGGTCATTGTTGTTTGGCCCTACTTCACCACACTGGTCAGTGCGTGTGGATGGGGAGAGTTGGGGGGGGGGGGCGACTAGGACCGGTTTGGATATCACCCGCCACTGATGTTAGCCGTGGTCAATACGTGAACTGAGGTCACCGGGTTCAGAGCGCAGTGCGCTAACCACGGCACCACTGCTCCCCCTACAGGATTATGCTTATTCTTGTCAATACAGTCCCTCGGTTTCTCTCTGATCAATCACGCTCATCTCTGTTTAACACCTCATAGTACGGTAGTAGGCTTTCGGGACCAATATTATCCATATTTGAGGTTTTTGTTGGGTTAAATAGAGTCAATATAAATCTGTCGTTAAACCCTCCACCACCCGACAGCCCAATTAGTAAGTTTGTCTCGTCAACAAAACATGCCATTTGGTTCCTAGTTCAGCACACCGGTTGTGTGTTGGAGAGTAAACCCACAACATTTACAATTCGAGTAATGACAACCAGCCTCATCAGGCGACAGCCAGAACTGTGGAGAAATCCTCCTCCTGTTTCGGTCTTAAATAGAGAGGGGGTGAATGTGACGTCGTCACTTGTGAGCCAATCAGGTGCGAGGACCGTGGGGAGGGGTTCATGTATTCATATAAATTACAATGGATATCGATTATTAGTTGGATTACGCACAGCTAATCAACATACATAATGTACATCATGCATGTACATTATGTATGCAAATTCTGCTGTTTTTGTGTAAAAAAATCGCATTACCTGTTATTGGCTGCTCACTGCGAATCACCATCGACGTATGGTGACCTGTATAGGCATGCAATTAAGCAATGTATTACTTCATAATACGCTTCCAATCAGTACTAAGCCTGTATCATAACGTTAAAATATTTTCTATTCAACTCAATTTCAATAGATTCTCGAATTAGTCTTGACCAGTAGTAAATAGTTTTGCACACACCTTTACATTATTAATATCACAGCTGTCGACAGTTGCAGAACACGCGTGCCAACAAGGAGACTAAATTTATTTATAACCCCAAAAAAAACCTCTACCATCTCTGATGGTGGCCCTCACTTAGTGGTGGAAATTCCTCATTCCCATGACAAGGCCAAGTCTAGAGCCAGTTCGCCCACTGTTGAATTTCCCACAGGGTTATTGTGGTAAAAACAAAAAAAACCTGTTTGAGGAATTAAACTTGGGGATGTGCCACCTATGCCGTTACTGGCACCTTCAGGAGACAATGAGAGCATTGGGCAAGCTGAAAGGCGCTTCAGGGAAGTTCACAATCATCGTGTCATAAGCGTCGGTGGCGAGACGTTAACTCTCTCGCCTGGGTTCGATCCCAACCCTGACGTCTGCTGTATATTTTGAGTTCGTATGTCTCTCTCTCGCTGGTCCGATTTTCCCTCCACATTTAGACTAACCGTCACACGCTTAGAGTATTTGGCTGAAATACATTTCCACGTGATGATTCGTTGCGCTTTTATTTGTGGTCAGCTCGTTTCTAAACAAGTAAACCCGTAAAAACAAAGTTTTTCACTCTAAATCCTTTATATGCGTGGCGGCTAGAGTTCTCTCGTCCTCTGGCTTGAGATGGCTGCAATCTATGGGTCAGATGATTGTCTGCCAGTATTAAGCAATTGGTAATTAAATATTTAATTTGTTTTCCCTAAACAGTGTAAAATTTTGGAAAAAAAATTTCACGAAAATTAATTGTCACACACAACGAGTCTGTGTGGAAAATGTCAGCTCGATTGGATCACGGGAAGTGGGTTAAAAATGACCGAAAGATTTGCACGGTCCTAAGCAAGCAAGCAAGCACGCGAACTTAATATAAAGGATTTAACAAGTAAACCCGTAAAAACAAAGTTTTTCACTATAAATCCTTTATATGCGTGGCAGCGAACTTAATATAAAGGATTTAAAAATATATTCGCCTGCGGAGGACGCGGGGATCGATCCCGCGACCTTTGGCATGGGAAGCGAGGGCACTACCAACTGCGCTACTCCGCCACGGCCTGTGGAGGGGTTACGCTCTGGGCTCTTATACTGTGACGTTCAGCCAAAGCCATGAATGAGTTCTATTTGAATATATGTAAAATAATTTTTTTTTTTCTGCCTAAAAAGTGTAAAATTTTGGGAATTTTTTTTCACGAACATTGTCTGGCACAACGAGTCTGTGTGGAAAATGTCAACTCGATTGGATCACGGGAAGTGGGTTAAAAAACGACCGAAAAATTTGCACGGTCGTAAGCAAGCAAGCACGCAAGCAAGCAAGCAAGCGAACTTAATATAAAGGATTTAAAAAAGAGCTGCACAGCTCAGTGAGCCTTACCTGGTAAAATAAAAAATCAGTATAGTTGAGTTTTATATATCGAGTTTTCAAGAATGGAGAGTATAATGTCTTATACTATTACGCCATCAATGACCAGGAGCGTAGCTAACACCAAACCATGGACCGGTTTCGACGTTCACCCTGAGCAGAAGTCAGGCTTTCTTAAACCAGTGCTTGGGAACTATCGGATATTTATAGGCAAATAAACAGAATGAGACTGCTGAGTGACAATGTCTGTGTTGAACCGAAGCTGTTGATAAAACAAAAATCAGAATTTGAATAATTATTTAGATTGGAGGAATCCGATAAGCTATGAAGCTCTTTTTTAAAAAGATGTCCAGGAGGGGCGGATTAGAAAGTTACAACAACAAATAATACAAAAACGCTAGGAGTGCAAAGTATAGGAAAGGTAAGCAAATCACTAAAAATAAATAAACTTAACAGGTAAGGTCCACTGAGCATTCCTAATTTCCGTACAAATACTGGAGAAAGGGCTCTTGCTAGACAAACCCAATATTAAATTATATACTGTATTGCTATAAACCACGTCCTTCCAATGATTGCGTAATAAACCATTTCGGATCTTAACTGATTGTGTTCACGTTTACGGTGACTTTCAGACCGCGTTCCACTCACTGGCATTGTATTCTCCGCAGGGAATGGATTCTTTGCTCCGCTGCAAGTTTCCCCCCACGACTCACCCATTGACACGACGGTCAATGGTATAGTGTATAATAACAAATAGTATAACATTTATATGCTTAATACAATGTACAAAGTAATATATAGTATCGTAATCTATATATATAAAATCGTGAATCTGTCTGTCTGTCTGTCTGTGTGTCTGTGTGTCGCCGGACCATACGCACTTTCATTGGACGCCGGTTGCCCCTGGCAACGGGTAGCGACGCCTTCGCCGCTTTCATTGGACGGCGGTTGCCCCTGGCAACGGCTAGCGACGCCTTCGCCGCGGGCAGCAGTTTCATTGGACGGCGGTTGCCCCTGGCAACGGGTAGCCACGCCTTCGCCGCTTTCATTGGACGGCGGTTGCCCCTGCCAACGGGTAGCGACGCCTTCGGCGCGGGGTGGACGCCATTTTTAATTCCCCTTAAAAATAGGCGCACGCATTAACATGCGACTCTGACGTAAATTCATCACAGTTTCACGTCCTCTTCACTCCCCTCCCACCCGAATGTGTTCAATTACTCTTATAGGCTCCGTAGATAATAAAATAATAGCGATTAGACAGTATTATTGTTGCGCGGGGGGGGGGGGGGGGACGGCACCCGTACCCTGCCTCTGCCGGGTGGCCAATTTTGCCGAGGCCGGAGGCTCTGCACGCTACTAGGCCTCGACACCCACCACGCGACTTTGAGGTAAATTCATTAAACTTTCACGTACTCTTCACTCCCCCCCCCCACCACAATGTGTGCAATTAATATTACTTTTAAACCCAACGCGCCAACAATCTATTCTTTAAATGTTGACTGTACAAATAGTCATTAAGCTGGGTGAGCGTACTGCCAGTCTATAATGTAGACTGTAACCTGCTTATTAAATTGGGTGAGTGTACTGCCAGTCTATAATGTAGACTGTAGCCTGCTTATTAAGCTCGGTGAGCGTACTGCCACTCTATCATGTACACTCTAGCCTGCTTATGAAGCTGAGTGGGTGTACTGGCAATCTATAATGTCGACTGTAGCCTGGTTATTATAATCGATTCTTTCAATGTTCTTTGTACAAATAGTCATTAAGCTGGTTGAGCGTACTGGCCGTCTATAATGTAGACTGTAGCCTGCTTATTCAGCTGGGTGGGTGTACTGCCAGTCTATCATGTAGACTGTAGCCTGGTTATTAAGTTAAGTTAGTCAATTTGTAACACGTACGCTTTCGCAAATATTATTCATAAACAACGTTATTGGCTTTAGATCGCCTTCTTTATTAATGTTTTGTAACCCTTATCCACCACCCGACACGCCCAATCTGCTAAAAATTGTCACGTTCATAAAAGACTAAGACTTCACTGCTTTAGCCCACCGGTGTGTTCAAGCGTTAAACCAC